TAAGGTCTACTAGCCGGTCTGTTGATTCTTTTGGGGGAACCATGGAAAAAAGGACAAGGCCGCTATAAACCCTAGACTGAGGAGACGAGCAAGATCGTGAAATAAGCAGTATCGGCAAGGACCTCGTTCACATCCCCCTAAATGTCACAAAAGCTTGGGTCCTGCTGGTTTGAAACATTCATCTACTACTACAAGGTGCCCCTGTCGCATGGATCCAGGGTTTTGGGGCTGTGGATTCAGGGTTTGCAGGGTTTTGACAGAAATTTGGGAGTTTCAGCTGGCAGTGGCACCCAAGTATAAACCCTAAGCAATGAAATCCTTGTTGCAAAGACCCCTGGCTAAGGTCGGCCCCATATTTATTGAAGTTGGGGGGTCTTGGGGCGCCACCGTTTGCTAGATCATTCCGAGCGTCATCAGATCAGATCACTGGAACCAGATACAACACGACGAACGCGGCACAGACACCCGTTGCCCCGCCCAAAACCCCAAACTCTGGTCCCTAACCCTGGGCCCTCAACCCCAGACCCTAAAGCCTACAACCCTCGACCCCAAACCCTAAACCCTCGGCAATAAACCCCACAACCATACTACAGCCGCCTATACCTGAAGCCGTCTGGTGCCGTTCGACGTTGCGTGGCCGCTCCTGTCAATCTTTCAATGGGTTCCACACTAAACTTAAACCCTAAACCCTAGGGTTTACCTAGACCCACTAAACCCTACTTTGTTGTAGGTTCTTATTATGAACTCTAATATGGGATTTATAGGGGCCCTACAAAAACAGTAGGTTCTGGTAGGTTAAGGTAGGGTTTAGGGTTTGTAAACCTTAAACCCACAACCTCAACCACCTTTACAGGAATCTGAAAGCGTTCTGTCGGGGCTCCTTTGTAGGACTCGTGGGGTTCCCTAACAGGAACGCGTAAAGATGCCCAAGGACCCCTGCAGGGTTAAAGGTTCAGGGGGGGCCATTCATGAGGGTTGCATAACGAAAAGATCTTCGCACACTGCCAATGTAAATAGAAATGGACGTACTGTCCCAATCTAGCTTTTGGGATATATTCCGGATTTACAGTTGCAGAACTTTTAGTGTCTTGCGATGTTACAGACTCCCCCAACTTGTATGCCCCAACGCGCCATACCAAGCCCGGAGTGCTCTCCAAATCTGAATCCCTCAAAACCCTAACCCAGTTCACTACGTAATTCACCTCCGGAAGATATTGAGCCGTGCAAGGCACCTAAACTGTTTCCAGGTTATAACTACCAGAATGATGTTAACATACACAGGTAGGTTTCAAGACAGTGGGTTTTGGTCGGTCATAAAAGCCGTGCAGCAATGTAGCCGCCTCAATAACTAGAGCAAGGTTTCAAGCTCTATGCCAGAAGTCTGGGGACGACTAGGGTATAGTACTATACTGAATAATTATTCCCGATACCCTAAACTTACATGCGCTAAATCCTACCTGACTGACCAGCCTAAACCCCTGAACCCCCTACCCTGAACCCCCAGACCCTACCCTGCACTACCCTTGAAGCCTTGAGCACGGCGCCGGCCGGGCGCGGCCCGCGCGACGCGCAGGCGAAGGACTGGGTAGGAGAAGGCATCGTGTTTCGAGGGTTTAGAGTTTAAGGCTTGGGCTTAAGGTACACTCTTGTGTGCTTCCCGCCAGCAGGATGCCGGGAGTTTAAGTTGACCCGGAACACAACCCCACGGTGTACCGTGTAGTCGCTGCCTCAGCTCGGCACAAGCTATCCGAAACAAGCTTGTCACGACCTTGCCGTAGCTGTCGGAGCCTTCCGCATCCTGGGATGCTCGGAGTCCGGTGGCGGGGACTCTGGCCGCTTTGCCCTTTTCTTGGCCTTGGCCTTCTTGGTGCCCTTGCGAGCCCTGGCCGGCACCAGCTTCACAGCCTCTCTTGGCTCATCCTCCTCCAGCAACGAGATGGGCTCGGCGGTTTTTATGTAAGCGGCCGTCGCCATCTCGCTATAACATCAACTCTCTTCAGAGGTAGCATCATCGGCACAATAGTCACCAGCATCACCAGCATCCCAATTGTCGTTAATAGTAGCACCTTCATCGTCTTCTTCTCCTTGATCATCCAGATCATCATGTAAATACTCGTCCTTAGACCATCATGATGATGCTGAACAGCGTCATCATCGTCATCACCACCGCCACCATCACCATCCGAGCAGAAAGACAGCTAACACCATCACAGACACCACCACAAAGGCAGCCAGAACCACCTCCACCAACCCAGAAAAATGCATTCAATCGACCGACATGGTCGGGCACAGCAAACTCGTTCGACACACCATCGATCTACAGCATCGTCATCAAGACGCCCTCCTTCCCCCGTCGCCGTCACCAGCAATCACCGCTACTACCATCGTCCATGGATCATGGAAACCCCTAAAGCCTAAACCCTCTGAATAATGAGTGGGCTCAGGTTGTAGGCCTCCAGCCGAGAGAGCCCAATAGCCCCGAAGTACATAAGGCATATATGCCTAAGTCGTATTTGCAACCCCCCTAGTTTAAGGTGTGTTCCTTGATAAAAGGGCATATTCGGCTCTCTGGTAGGGCTTTGGAATTTAAGGTGCAGGGGGCTTGGAGGTTTAGGATGTCGGGCCCTCATGGTTTATGGTTTAGGGTGCCGTACTCCTAATCTCTTGGCAGACCGTGGGGGAATTCTCCTGCACCACATCGGTGCTCGGCCGAATGAGCAACAACCCTAAACCCCAGACCCCTACACCTTAAATCCAAAAATCTTAACCCCAAGGCCCAAACCGGGGGAGGGGGGCGCTGAGTTTTTCAAAACATTGACCCTCAGGGCTCCTGAACAACATTGTCGCATAGCACACCTCAAGAAGACTCAAACATCTGTTCGAGTTCTTCAGGCACCCAAACTGCTAAATTCATCCGAATCCAAAATCCGAACCCCGGAGCCAAATAGCCCCGACCCCCAGTCTCAGTCGTGCTGCCAGCGGCGCAGGGAGCGCAGCACCTCGCGTATGCAAAGCAAAACCCTGCCCTAAACCCTGAAACCCTAAGCTGTGTTAGCTAGCTGTGCACATGGAGCCATAAAATATAGCCTCGATATGCCTCAATTTTGGAAGCTGCGTGTAAGGCCTTTGAAGACAAAGGTCTTCGACCCGGACTTAAGCGACAGAGCACTGTGGCTAGATCTGTCAACATTCTGACCCTTATCGATTGTGTAATGTGTCAGCATAACTAGTTACTGTCTGTCCTGACCACTTGCCTGGCTGGCTGTCTGCATGTATTTATGCAAGTGAATATCATGTTCGTGTGCTCGTATGCGTATGTATTTGTTCCGTTGTAGCTATATGTACAGGCATGACTTTTCTGTTGAACATATTCACAAGTAAGCTTACGTATTTTGGTTATGTACATATGTATATATATATATATGTATGATATGCATATGTGTATGCATATGTACATCTATTTGCCTACTCCTAGGTACTGAGTCACTATGTGTTTCATATCTACGAACAGCGCTATCTGTCTATTCAAGTCTTTGCTTCTTTGGAAGCTCATGTTCGTCTTGGATTTGGCCTAAAAAGCAGCTCTTCAGAACCAGCTAAACCCTAAACCGACTGTGACCACAACAGCAGCCCTGCGACGGACCTAGCCCTTGAAAGAAACCGCTGTTGTGGCTCTAGGATTGGGGATTTAGGGCTTAGGATTTGGGTGGTTTTCTCATGACAACAAATCCAAACATTCAACCCGTCAACCTGAACATACAAATACATCCTGAAAAGAGCAAGAATGAAAACATACAAGAAGCCCGCCCGACCAAGTTCCCTCCTCACCTCGCCCATCCCGGAATAAAAGACACAGCCCAACCTCAGCATTCCGATTAAAATAACCCCGCCTGTGAAACCAACATCGCTCAGCGGCATCGCGCCCAAACTCTGGCCCATGGCTGTTTACTCAAAGAATGTTAATCTCGATGTGTCGGGTCCCTGCTTCTTGAGTTTCGGTGTGTGCTTCTCTCTAACGTTTCGGAGGGTTGCACATATTTGGGGCCGAGGCTCTGGATTTCGACCTCGAAATTCAAATCAACTAGACTAGCGACTCTTATCGAGCCTGAAACAATCGCTTGAGCTCGTGTTGGGCATTCATCGACATGTTAAGCACGAAGATCAGGCCAGCGAGAAAGCAAGCCTAGTCATCCAATTACACTACTTTCAGCACCAAGCTGCTTCGATGCGCTTGACGGCCTAGAATGAACCGGCAAAGACGACTTCCTTTCCCCGCCACCCCGCCTCCGAAGACGGTCATGCAACAAGGATTTGCCGTACAAGGCTTCAAGATACCGGTGTACTTACTGTTTAGGTTGATGTGATCACACTCTGATTTTCCCTTGGCCCAGAAACCAGCAAACGAAGCAGTAAACCTGGAATTGAACTCCTGGAATGCAACCCCAAACCCCTAAAAACCTATGCAAACCCTTAAACCCTGAACCCCTTAAACCCTCAATCCATAAACTCTGAACGCCTGCACCCCAAACTCTTCAAACCCTAAAGGCTGCAGGGAGACGATTAACGAGGAACCTGAGACGATGATGACGTCACAAACTGCCTCTGAAACCAAGAACTTACCACTAGTCTCCATTGTAGTTCCTTTTTGAGGTTCCCTTTTAGGATCCCTAATATAGAATTGGTTAACCCAAAAAAACGAACTACAATGGAGACTATAGGTATCCACCGAATATCGGGCCACTAAACAAAAATAGTTCTCCAGAAGAACGCTTAGCTATATGTTATAATTACTCTGAAAATGGTTAATGTTACCAGAGATTCAGATCGATGCGGGCTTCGCAACAGGCTCTTCACTGTGGAGCAAGCAGAACGTCCCCACTGCTTTTTCCACCAAGGACGAACTCCTCCACGCCCACCCTACAACGCTCCAGCCTAGTCTGGGATTTAGGGTTTAGAGTTTAGGGATATAGCGGGTTACAGTTCAAGCGCCTCAACATTTGCTACTGTCGCGTTGGGTTCAGCCGCATGAACTGCACCGGCACGCTTGCAGCACCGGGTTGCGACACCACCTGGCAAGGGAAGAAACACAGCGGAACCTAAACCCTAAACCCCAAACCCTAAACCCTGCAAGCCCTAAACCATAAACCACAAGCATGGTTTGGGTTTTGGTTTAGGGCCAGGACTCCTGGTTAGGATTCGGGGCTTTCGATTCAGGGGCCCTCAACCCTGAACCGTACCACGCGCTACTTGGAGGATCATGGGACTTAGTAACTAGGGTTATACTTAAGGTAACTCTACTTATAACTACTTTTAACCCCACTTAAGGTCCAAATAAGGTGCTTATACCCATACTTACTAAGTCCTATGATCCTCCAAGCACGCCCTAAACCCTCCCGACATGTTTGGTGAATCTGCGTCTCTTCGAGCTTCATGGCGGCAGGTCTCCAGCCATAACCTTGAAACATGATACCCCAATCACCAAACCTCTGAACCCGAAACCGCACAAGCCCGAACCCCAAAGCCTCTAACTCCCAAAATGGCCCAAAACCAAACTCCTCAAAACCCTAAGCTTTGGCCCTAAACCTCTAACGCCAGTTTGAAGGTCCAATGCTGAGGACTGAAGGCCCTTATGGGTCTGAGGGTTTGAAGGCTGCAGGATTGTTGGTCCTGCAGGCCCTAAATCCCACCCTAAACCCTCAACCCTGAAACCTGCCAGGACCCCCCAAGCGCCCTTTAATAGAGCCCTTCTGGCCCTTAGTAGTGGATATTTGACTAAGTACACTAGAGGGTAGTTGGGGGATCTAGGTGAACCCAACAGCCAAAACCGGAAGAAGACCGCCACCCTAAACCCTTAATATAGGGGCCTAAATCATTACCTATACTATTGTGGAGGTTCCTTAATTCTAGTATAACGGGCCCCAAAACCCTATTCAGATTATTAAGGGCCCTATCTTAAACCCTGAAGAGCGGCCGCCTGCGCCCTTGGCCGTATTGTCGTCGTCTGGGCCCAGACGGGCACCGGAAACGGAGCTGGCTGAGCCCTGGGCCAAGGCGTGCTTGCTGTTACAAGGCTTATGGCCATTAAGTTATTTAGGGTTTGGGGTTTAGGGTTCTTTACAGGATGTTTCTATCTTGAACCGGTTCCTTCAAAGGAATTGAGGAGTTCTCAATAAGTGTTGACATCTTCCGGAGCTTCGTGAGCATTCAGCAGGGCTTGACCCTGAGGGTCCATGTACACAACTAGTATATATTTTGACCGCAAGGTACTGTACCTACATAGAGACTACTTCAAGGAAGTGCGAATTGGCTACATGGACCCTTAGGGTGAAGTTTAGACTTCAGAGCTTGGGGGGCATGCCCGGGTAAACGGTTGGGGTTTCGGCGAAAGGGCATGCAAGAGGTATCTAGGGTATATACTGGTATATATCGATCACACCCTCTTTACTCTACACCCCAAAACTGCTGTGCAGGGTGGGTGGTACGATAGGGCTTTCTGTCAGCTCACACGACACCATCAACCCACCAGCATCAGCAGCAATAACACCAACACACTAGCAACATCACATCATATCGGCACCAGCAGACCAACAGCACAGGATCAGACGGGCTATCAGCAAAACCAGTATCAACAACGTCATCATCAACAACATCATAGCTTAGGTCATCACATTTAGTGCTATGCACGACAACGTTGCAGCTGATACATCAAGCATCACTGCACCAAAAATATCTTCGTCTTCGCCGCCATGATAGTTTCGACTTCACGTACACGGCGACCATCAACGCAGCTGCAAAACGAAATCCACGACAACACAGACCCTAGACATTAAACCATGCTAATTACCACGAAACCGAAAGCTCGAACACCGAGTTCAACCCCCCTCCCCGAAACCCTACACCTTAAACCCGACCCTAAACCCGACCCTAAACCATAAACCCCGAAGCCTCCAAAACCCCGAAATCCTGAACGCGGTGAGGCCCCCGGCTTTGCAGCCACTGGGGCGAAGGTCAGCCTTTGCGGCGTCAGCGCCGAGGCGACGGGGAAAGAACCGCGATTCACCTTCCCGGGGGAAACATCACATGATACAACGCCATAATGCGCTATTTTAATCGCAACATCGTGCGAATATACATGTCTCATAATGTTAAACACGATGGGTTTATGTCATGTATCTCTCTCCATCTCTCTCTCTCTCTCTCTGTCTCTCTCTCTCTCTCTCCATCTCTCTCTCTCTCTCTCTCTCTCTCTCTCTCTCTCTCCCTCCCTCACTCCTACGTATTATTCCCACAAAGCCCAGGATGCCTTAATGGAACCCTTCAAGAAACCCTCAACCCTAAACCCCTAAACCCTACACCCCTCAACCCTCATTCCCTGAATCCAAAGCCCTAAATCCTAAACCCCGAAAAACCTTATAGATCCCTTAAAGCCTTAAATTAAAGGACCCCTTAACGGGACCCTACAGATCCCTACTTAGAGGATCATGGGACTTAGCAAGTAGGTTATAATTGGGGTTACAAGTCCCCTAAGTGGGGTTATCCGAATTATAACCTACTTATAACCTTACCTACTAAGTCCTATGAGCCTTTAAGTATGGTCCCCTAAACCCCCAAGGCCTCGCCTGCACGGCAGCGGGGGACATGGCCGGAGTCTCCGAACTCGGAGCCGGCACCTGGGGGGGAGCGGCTCCTTTTAAGGGGTCCTTGTAGGGATCCCTAGGGTTCCTTAAAGGGCTCCTTATAGGGATCTATAGGGTTCCTTTAAGGTGTCCTTTAAGGGATCTATAGGGTTCCTTTAATCTAAAGCCAGGGTTTCGTCTTCGCCCTTACAGGGTGGAGGGCTATAGGTTCCCTTCAAGGAACCCTTAAACAAAGGAGCCCGAATAGAACCCTTAAAGGAGCCCTTAACGGTTCCCTTGAAGGAACCCTTAAAGGAACCCTTAAAGGAGCCCTTATAGAACAGATCCCTTTAAGGGAGAAGACCAAACCCTAAACTTCTAAGCTATCCTAAGCCCTAACCAGACCCTTAGCTCCAGCCAAGAGACGAAGCCCAAGCTCCCCAAGAAACTAAAGCCCAAAGCCCTGAAGCCTAAACTAAGGGGGGCCGGCCAGCTAAGAAAACTCTTTAAGGGATGTCTACTATACTGAACTTAGAACCCTAGCAAAAATTATAATTTTAGCTGTTTCTTAGGGATTATAATAACCAAAGATAAAAAAATATTTCTAAGTACCCCTAAGTCTGGGGAGTGTCGAAATCGAAGCGCTTTTAGGCTTGCAGGGCTGGGGCTTCAGTGGGGCTCCAGGCTTACAGTAGAAGCCAGAAAGTTGGAATATCATTATCGTAACCCTTTTAAGGTAAATTATAGGGGATCCTACCATTAATCCATATTCCAACTTTCTGGAGTTCCCTTTAGGATTTGACAATGAGAGTATTGTATTGCTATTACCGTTTTTGTTGATGTTACCTTTAGTGTTGCTACTATTGTTCTTAGGTCTTATTACTATAGTTACTGTTATATTGATTACAGGCTTCTAGGGTCAGGAGCCCGTTTGAGGCAGATCATGGGGGCTGGGGGTGCATAGATAGCCAACATACTAGTACAAACAACACTAGTAACAAATACTTGTAATCATAGTCAAAATCTGTGGTAAGGGCGCATAATCACAGTTTATAATGGTGCATGCAGGCTTTATAGGAGTCCTGATCCCTAAACTTAGCCCTAATCCAACGCCAAAAACTCCCTAGACCCTAGTCCACTGCAGATAAACTGCTCAAGCCTACATCCCAAAACTTAAGCCCCCAAACACTAAACCAGCAAATCTAAACCCTAAACCTCTGAAGCCTAAACCTACACAAACCCCAAAGCCGGACGAAGCCCTGAGCCTTCCGAACCCCTTGAGCTGCACGCCCGGATATAATGATCTTCGGTAGCAAAAGGTTTGGATATTCTCCTAAACCCTAAACCCTAAACCCTCATATACCCCAAGGTAAAAGCCCTAAGCCCTTATACACCCCAACATGAAGCTCTAAATCTTTACCAAGAATAAGACGAGCCCTAAACCCTGAACCCTAAGCCTAAACCCTGAACTCTAAACCGTAAACCCCTAAACCCTAAACTCCCTGAACCCTGAAGGAGCCTAATTTAGACATAAAGCCTGTAGATCCCTTTAAAGGAACCCTATAAACCCCCCAAAAGGTGCCCAGGCACCGGGAAGCCGATAAAGGTGGAGTCCGATGGCAAGGCGCTACCCGGGCTGTCCGCCGGGCCTTCCGGGGGTTCAGGGTTTTTTTTTTTTTTATGGGCTCGTTTGAACCTGCAGGTAGAGCTAGAACTCCTGGGGCTCAGGGTTTAGGGTTTAGGAATTTAAGGACTTAGGGGTTTAGGGGTTAGGGTATTTTAAGTTTCGGAACTTATTGGTTTGGGGTTTAGGGGTTTAGGGGTTTAAGGGCTTAGGGTTTAGGGTTTAGGAGTTTAAGGACTTAGGGGTTTAGGGGTTAGGGTATTTTAAGTTTCGGAACTTATTGGTTTGGGGTTTAGGGGTTTAGGGGTTTAAGGGCTTAGGGTTTAGGGTTTAGGAGTTTAGGAGTTTAGGAGTTTAGGGATTTAGGGTTTAGGGGTTTAGGGAATTAGGGATTTAGGGTCTGGGGGCTCGGGGGTTTAGGGTTTAGGGTTTTGAGTGTAGGGTTTTAGGGTTTAGGGCTTAGGGGTTTAGGGATTTAGAGTTTAGGAGTTTAAGAGCTTGGGGCTCAGGGTTTAGAGGTTTAGGGAATTAGGGATTTAGGGTTTTAAGGGTTTAGGGTTTGGGAGTTTGGGGATTTAGGGAATTGGGGATTTAGGGTTTAGGGTTCAGGGGTTTAGGGATTAAGGGTTTAGGAGTTTAGGGATTTAGGGTTTAGGAGTTTAAGGGTTTAAGGCTCAGGGCTTAGGGCTTGGGGGTTTAGGGTGTGGGGCTCAGGTTTAGGGTTTGGGGTTCTTTTGGCTCAGGGCTTCGGGCTTCGGGTTTAGGATTCTTGGCAAAGGGTTTTGAAGATTACTGTTTTGGGCGTTCGTTGGGGGGGGGTGCCATGAAACAATAATCACCACAGCCTCCAGCCTCCTCTAAGGGTACCAGCTTTTCTTTCTTGGGGGGGGGGGGGGGTCCGGAACCTCCTAAGGAGAGAGGAGGGGTCTCAGAAGTTCCAAATCTGTGGGGTTCCAAAAGTATCAGGTCTAACCCTAACCCTAAACCCCTAAACCCTAAACGAATAAATCCCTAAACCCTGAACCCTAAACCCCTAAACCCCTAAACCCTGAACCCTAAACCGTGGTTTTACAAGAGTCAGGTCTTAAACCACCGCCCTCGAATCTCCGTCCTGGGGCTGATCAGGACTGGATGGCATGAGTACGTGGGTGGTTGTCAAAATTAGGGTTCCTTTTTGGGCCCTCTTTATAATACGGCACCTAATATTTAGGGTACCCAAAGTTGGGACCATAAGTTGACAACCACCCAAGCGGAGAACCTTACGCTCTGAATCTTGCAACGCTACCGTCCGAAAAAGCTCTATCTGCATCATAAGAGATGGGATCATGGTTTTAAACCTATACCCGTATGTATGGACAAAGATCAGGTTCTGTTGCACGGTCTATAAACTTAGCGAATCATGGGACTTCGTAACTAGGATTCAGGTAACTATAATGGTCACTTGCAGCCCCACATAAGGTACTTATAGCCATTCTTACTAAGTCACATGTTCCTCCAAGTAGGTAGTCATCCACCCTAAACCCTAAACCCCAAACCCTAAACCCACGGGTCTTGATGCCATGGTCGCTGCAGGCCTGCTGCACTCAACGGGCTCTGCAGAATGTCGCCCTCCTCCAGCACAGTCTTTCGGGTTTAGGGTTTAAGGGTTCGATCTGTAGGGTTCCTTTAAGGGATCTATAGGGTTTAGGGCTTTAGGGGTTTAGGGGTTTAGGGGTCTAGGGGTTTGGGGTTTAGGGGTTTTAGGGTTTAGGGGTTTGAGGTTTAGGGGTTTAGGTGTTTAGGGGTTTAGGGGTTTGGGGTTTAGGGACTCTGACCCTCAAACCGCAGCTCTGCCCTGACCCTGAACCCTGTAAGCCCCAAGACCTATAATCCTGATCCCCACAAAAATCTGTATGAATCCTAAACGTTTACACCCAACTTGATCCTTAAACCCTAAGCCAGTGCGTTCTGAATTTGGATCCCTAATCCCCACAGACTACGCTCCCCCAAGCATGACCAAGTGAAAGCAGTTGTAAGACGTGGCCCTGAACCCTAAACGCCTAAACCCCAAAGCCTGAACCCTCAATTCGGCTGCCGAGAGTTTGGAGTCTTTTTAGGTTCCCCAGGGTTTAGGGATTAGGCATGCGCAGGAGTTATTTGAGATTCCAAAGGCTATACAGTTACAAGATTGCAGAATGATGGGAGGCCAAAAGGGGGGTTTAAGACTCTTAGGGTAGGGATTCCTTAATATGAACCCTGCTATGGGAACCCTAATCCCTACTAAACCCCCATAGGCTAAAACCCCTCTTGGCCTCCTATGATCCCCTTATAGATCCCTTTAAAGGAACCCTAGGGATCCCTAACCCCCATAGGCTAAAACCCCTTTTGGCCTCCTATGACAGACGCGTGGGCTGCTTAGATTCGGAGGCCTCAAAAGGTGGGATGAAGGTAGGGTTTAGGGTTTAGGGATGAAGGTAGGTGGGATATTCCCAAATAAGAGTCCTTATATAAGGGATCCTTCATCCTACCTACCTGCATCCCACCTTTTGAGGCCTCCGATAGATGTTGGCTGTGCTAGTATAAACAGAAGAGCATCTGGTAAGAGGCGGCTAAAGGATGACGGAGCCTGAACCCTAAACCCCAAAATTGTGCCACGCAGCATGCAGCGTGCGAACTAAACTCTAGAGTCCTCATTCTCAAAACCTGAAGCAAGCATACCTCTCAAACGGCCTGCCTAACCTTTAACAGACCCTCTCAAGCCCCCATGAAGGCAGTGCAAAGCTCTGCAAGGAGTCCATCTCGAACTCTTCCTCGTGGTCGAGCTCTTCTTCCTCTTCTTCCTCCTCCTGCTGTGAGGAATGCGAGGTTCAGTGTTTCGGCCTTGGAGGCTAGCGGGTAGCTTCTGCATTCAGAAGTATACTTTCAAACCTAGGGGCAGCACAAACAATCCTGAATGCTGAACCCTGAACTCCATGAATCCTACAAACCCCAAGCTCTCTAAACCCTAAGCCGACCCGCTTGGGGCCAACGTATCTTTGACTTTCGGAGATAGGCCTCAGCGGTAGGTGTACCACCAGCGACCCACAACCTCCTGACTAAACCTTAAGCCACAAGCCACAACCGACAATGACATCGGTTGCTCTTGCCGCATCTCTCCTTCGTCTAGCCGAGACAACAGGATCTCCGGGCGGTGCTATTACAGAAGCCTATAGTTTGCATGATTGCATGAGTGTAGGGATTTGGTGGGTTTGTGTGCGATGCGTACAAGATCGTATAAGTAACTAATGGGTTGTAGTTTGCGGCCCTCCCAAAGTGACCCAAACGTATGTAAGAGTAGGTCTATAGAGTCTATAGGACCAATGGGCTTTTCCCAAAGTGCAGTCACTAACCACGAGCTGTGGCAGCCCTGGTTGTGCAAGCTGAAGCATAGAAAATCCATGGCACAGGGTAGGAAGATCATAAAATCCCATGCAACCGAGAGGCACGAGTATCAACACATGTCAAAACCCACGGCAAACACTCCCTCCTCGACGCCACATCCTGACCAAGCCTCTCACCCTCTACACTACACCCAACAATCCACCCCAGCTCTCAACCTTTTGGCCTCAGATCCCAAAAACCCGTCGAAGATCCCATACAGTTCCTCTTTTGTGGCCTGTGTGGGAATGATCCAAGGAGGTCTACAAATCCCAGAAAAGCCACACAGCCTCGTCAAGTAGCTCCTCGCCGGTCCAGTCCTGACAGGTCCCGAGATCTCAATTCGGCTTTGGTGTTTAAGGCTTTAGGTTTAGGGATTTCGGGCTTAGGGCTTTACGGCTTTGTGGCTTAGCGTTGAGGGCTTGGGCGGGTTTTGTGGTTTAAGGACTATTACTACTACTACGACGACTTAGACTACGACTACGACTACTCTGTTTAGGTCCTCCCCGGGCGAGAAGTCGTCATCGAGGCCGTCCTGAGCTGAAAAGCTGTGGCTCTTGCTGGTGAGGCTAAACCCAAAAGGCCTCAACCCTAAGTTTATACCAACCGCGAACCATAAACCCAAAAACGTCCCAAGAGCTCCGTTCGTCCTAAACCCTAAACACGCCAGAAAGGAATCCACCACCCATACCTATCATACTATACAACAGATAGAAACCATAAAACCCGAAAAAGGGGTAGGGTATGAGCCTCTAGAAATGCTTGAAAGTGCATCCCGGATGCTGCGTAATCCCCCAAACCGCGGATCCCAGAACCTCCAGGAAACACTGTCAAAAAACGGGCACTGAAAGATTGAAACTCTTTCTCTTAAGCCATAAATCCTCACCCTTACTTCCTAAACCCTGAAATTCCTAAACACTAAACACTAATTTTCCCAAAACCTACACCCCAATTCATCGACCCTAGACCCTCTAATTGCTGAGCCTGAACTCCCAAAAGAGGCGAAACCAAACTCCTCTCTCGATATGTGGGTGGTTGTCAAAATTAGAGTCCCTTTTTGGGTACCCTAAATAATAGGTGCCGTATTATAATAGGGACCCAAAAAAGGACCAGAATTTTGACAACCAGCCATATTACTGCAAGCTACGTACACGGCCGCTTCGTTGGCGGCAGCGACGTCCCAGTCATCGATCATCCTGCCAGCTATGAAGCCTAAGTTACTAACGACACCCCCCACAAGAACCTCTAAACCCTTAAACTTATAAACCTTGAACCTCTTAAACACACTAAACCTTGATGCCTGCACCATAAAACCAAAAATGCCAACCCTATCATACTAAACCATCAACTGCACCTTCTTCGGCTTAGGGCTTTAAAGGTTTCAGGGTGTATAGTGAAGGGCTCAGGACTTACAATTACAATGGCTTACAGGTACCCACGAGACCCTAAACACGCCCTCTGAAGCCTCTACAACCGGCCCGGTGGTAAAACCTTTTCAGCACCCTAAGCCCCTAACTCGCAATTGGCGGCTTATTAAACAACTTCAAATTGAACACAAGCACCCTCTTGATCTCCTCGGAGTACATAACCCTGTTGGATCCCTTCAAGGGAAGCCCAAAACCCGAACGCGCTTGCTCACTGAGCCCCCTGAGACAAGTAGACTGTTTCTGTATGGTTTGAAGTGTCAGAATTATGGGTTGAATTGGCTCCCATGAACTACAATCCTACATTCATCAAACTGCTATTGCAAAAACCCTGAACCCTCAACCGTAAACCCTGAACCTCCGACACCCGCAACCCTTTTGAACCCCGGGAACCCCTAAACACCCCTAAACCGTTGTAAATCCCAAAACCCCAAAACCCTAAACCCCTAAGCCCCTCAACTCTAAACCACCGAAAACCCCTCCCAAAACCGCAGTATACCCTAAACCCTAAACCCCTCAACCTTAAACCCCCCGAAACCACCTCCTAAACCCTAAAACGTAGAATTCCCTAAACCCTAAACTCCTCAGCCCTAAACCCCCAAACCCCCTCCTAAACCCTAAACCGTAGAATTCCCAGACCCGGCCTTGGATCTTCATCCTCTTCCTCCATTCCCTCGGAGTCGTCATACTCCTCTCCGTGCCTGGGAGACCGAAACAGGATTTAGGGTTTGGGGCTTAGGGGTTTGGGGTTTAAGGGCTTGGGATTTAAGGGTGGGTTAGGGGTTTAGGGTTTCGAAGTTTGGGGTTTAGGGGGCTTCGGGTATAGGAGTTTAGGGGTTGAGCGTTAAGTGTGTGCGGCCCGGTTTTAGAGGGTAGAGTTTCGGCGTTCAAGTTCGGGTTTAGGGTTTTTTTAGGGTTTCGAATTACATGTATGCACATTTACAAGTATCGTTATCGGGGCTCTACGTAGCTATATCTGAAAGGGTACACAACTTGCATCCGTACTTGCTAAGTCCCTGAGTTTCTCTGCTATTCGGTAAGAAAAGGATTGAAGGTAATTACTCGCTTTCCGGTAATCATAAGGCTTAGGATTTGAGCTTTAGGTGCTACTTGATTAGGGGCTCCAGAAATTGTACTACTTGGGCTTTGAAGCAACCAATGAGAAACAAAAAACATAAATGTTATTTCGTCATGGCTCCCTTTACGGAACAAGTCAAGAGAAACGACGTGTGGAGTTCCAAGACCCAAGGTGCTGTAAAGTACAGGTATGGGCCCCACTGTTTCGAAACCTTGCCAGGCAATCTCGCCGAAATGAAACAGTAGCTGTCATAGTCCACAGCAAATAGCCGTCATGGTCCTAAATATCCTGAAGATATGTAGAACAAGAAAGCAGCCCGAAATAGACACCTCAACCTCGAGGGGCCACCTACTGTGAGTGTCCCAGCACTCTAAAACCCCAAACCCTTAAACCCCTACATCCTGCACCCTAAACTTTACCCTAAAGCCCTGAACCCTAAGGAAACCACGAAACACTGTGCACCTGCATCATACGGAACCTCCAAAACCCTATAGAACTCTAGTATAGATCCCTTATAGAACCCCTTAAAGGAACCCCTTAAAGGAATCCTACTCTATTTATGACGGCCCTGCATCTGGCCTTGGTTGCGAGCGCGTTGCCAAACCAGCAGACCTACTGGACCCAAAGCGCTTTGGGGCTTTAGGGTTTAGGGTTTAGGGTTTAGGGGTTTAGGGGTTTAGGGGTTTAGGGGTTAGGGGTTTAGGGTTTAGGGTTTAGGGTTTAGGGTTTAGGGGTTTAGGGGTTTAGGGGTTTAGGGGTTTAGGGGTTTAGGGGTTTAGGGTTTAGGGGTTTAGGGTTTAGGGTTTCGGGTTTCGGGCTTAGGGTTTAGGGTTTGCTGCAAGATTGCGTAGCGGTAGTACAACATGGATTGCAAGATTTATTAGCCGTTTGGTTGCTTGCGAGTTGCAGCCTTGGCCCGACTGCGGCGGGCCATCACATCACTCACCCACCCCACGCCTCTGAGGCGGCAAACCGCCCAAACCTATACCTTTTAGGGTTTAGGAGTTTAGGACCTAAACTCTGTTAGGTCCATTTTGGTTAACAATAACACACAATTCTGCAGCCAAGCTTCTGCTCCCAAAAGGCAGGGCAGAGTAAGGCAGAGTACGGCAGGAGGTAAAGGCCAGGGGGAGGCCAGGGGCCAGCGGGGGCCTCGGGGGACCTGGGGGGCCTGGGGGGGCCTGGGGGTGCCTGGCGGGGGTCCGGGCCGGCAAAGAACACTCCAGACCTCAGCAGGTCGCGTACTGCTTCTCATGTGGGTCACCTCCCTAGGCCTGAGGGCCTCAAGCTTCAAAGTTTAGGGCTTCGCGGTATGCATGGATACAAAGATGCCTGCATGCATACACAGGGCCCCTGGGTCCTCGAACTCTGGTTGCTGCAGGCCCCAAGCCCGCCCTGGGGGGTGTCTTTTGGAGGGGGGCCCAAATGGCTTGGTCTTCCATGATGAAGGGCTTGGTGTTTAGGGTAATTACTTTAATACAGTAGTCCTGGGAAAACGTGTCCCGGTACCGGGCCTAACGTGGGTGCTACAGTACCCCTACCTGTGGGACGGCGGGCGAGCGTCCTGGATCCACCTGCGCCATCGATGTCGAAGGGCGCCGCCTTTAGGGGTTTAGGGGTTTGGGGGTTTAGGGTTTAGGGGTTTAGGGTTTAGGGTTTAGGGGTTTAGGGTTTAGGGGTTTAGGGTTTTTTTTAAATGCAGTGGGTCTTTCTCTCTGCTGCCACGACCCTGCCTTCGACAGGCTTGCACAAAACATTAACAGCTCACAGGAGGGTTTAGGGTTTAGGGTTTAGGGTTTGTAACAGTATGCGCGCGGTGGGTGCGCCTTTTACTTTAGGAATAGGGGGCGCGCCCACTAATCGCGCGCTTGCGTCAGCATGTAGTCCCGCCCCAACCACCCCAACTATTCTCAATTAGGGTTTAGGGTTCACCCCCCAAACCCCCCTGAAGGGGGGCTTTCTTGCTCTCTGCTTCCTTTCGTAGCTTGACATGTAAGCAACAATATTTTTCCAGAAATCACGGCTGAAATGGATTGCTGTCGGGTTGTGGGTCCTCGCGGCCTGTGCCGGCCGCTCGACGAAAAGCAATGGTTTCCAACAAACAACTTGGGTCTCGCGCCCTGTAAGGGCTGCTCGAAGTGTGAACAAGGCGGGGCAAGAGGGCGGGCAGGGCAGGGCAGGAGGGGCAGGGCGGGTAGCAGGGCAGGGCAGGCAGGGCAGGCAGCAGGCAGGTTTAGGGTTTAGGGTTTAGGGTTTAGGGTTTAGGTTTGAGGCTTTAAAGGGCAGACGGCTCTGGGATGTTTTACGGTACTCCAATGGAGACCACCTGCGGTCCAAAAGACCTAATCAATTACTTCTTTGAGGAACTCTACATATATATATATACATACGTATGTGTATATATTATATATATATATATATATATATATACAAAACCTAACAGGAACACTCAAAAGGGAAGGTCCTGTCAGCTACAGGTATAGGCACACCGCCATCGCAGACCGAAACAAGCCCAACCCGGGCAGAAAGCGCCCGCAGCTCGACATAGTATGCCCTGTGAACCCGATGGTCTTCAAATAGGGCCCCCAAAAACGCCACATAAGCAAGAATATGGTTCGGGATATCCCATGTAAACCCCCTTAAAAGGAAGCCCAATTCCCATGAAATGCTCATGCTTATGTGCTTTTTGGGTCCCTAATCCAAGTCTCTGGACGAACAATGTAAAGTACCGCGAATTTTAACATACCCTAAACCCTAAACCCTAAACCCTAACGAGAAGGCATCAACCACAGACGTCACAAAACTCAAACACAGAAAGGGATCCTCAAAGGAGCCCCTTATCCCTAAACCGTAAACCCCCAAATCCTGAACCCCTAAACCCTAAACCCCTAAACCCTAAACCCCTAAACCCCTAGATCCCAACCCCCTAAACCCCAAACCCCTAAATCCCAAGCCCCTAAACCCCAAAACCCTTAACAGGAATCCTTTCGTGGCTCGGGCCCTGCCTGCTGAAGATGCGCGGGTCGACTTTGACCTCGGTCGTCTTCGCCAGCACTGTCGGGGACGAGTGGGGTTTCCATGGAAGAAATCTATCCCAAATCCCTAAACCCTAAACTCATAAACCCTAAACCATGTAACCCTGGGCATCAAAATAGCCCAGAAGCCTTATTTAGTAGGGTCTTTGGGCCAAAAAAGCCGTAATATATGAGTCCTTAGATGCCTAGGGTAAGAAACCTATCCCAAATCCTTAGGGCGAGGGCTGCTTTAGAAGACACCCTTACATGTTGGATCCTTCAATGGGTTGAGTATGCAACGTCTTTTTACGTGGCTGCCTAGCTGGCTCAAGGATCGCGCCCAGTCTAGAAACTCCCGACCCTCCAATTCCCAATCCCTAAGCCCTAAAACCTTGAAACCCAAAAACCCAAGTCCAAAATTCTAAAATCCCTAAGACCTTTCTTGATGCTTGCGAAACTGCCTCCGGGAAGTCCGAAGGCAAGGGTGCTTAGGGGAGCAGATAGACGTAGTTGCTGAGTTCCCCCAAAGCGGGTGAGTTAATTAAGCCTTACTTGTGAAGGTTTGGGGTTTAGGGTTTAGGGTGATGTTCGTGCTACATAGCCCCCTAAAGGCTAAAGCCAACCTACTCAAGTACCTACTCAAGATCAGAACAGCTTAGTATGAAGCTCTCGGACCAGGAAGTTACGCCAGCACAGGCAACACAGCGCTCAAGCGCAGCAGCTGGCAAAGACACGGGAGCAGTGATGGCATTCATCCGAACTCAATGCCTGCACTCGTCAGCATCCTCATTCCTGGTATATTCTGAGACCGCGAGGCAGTTGGCGTAATGGTAGACAGGCTCACCGCACTAGACTTTCGAAGCCTCACTACATGCATACACCCTCCAAGTCCTGGACAGAACTGCACTTGTACTCACTACTCTCAGTAAGCCCCACATCTTAAGAGAACAAACAGGTACGAATCACATAGATGGCCGCAACAGCAGCGACAGCAAAGCAAGAACAAAACTACTAACACCAAAGCTAAGGACAAACTAAGTACCTAGTAACTGCATCAAACCACTGAACCCTCATCATCCCTAAGCACCTCGAGCTGCACCTCTGATTCAACCCTAAGGCTTTTTCACAGCTCACCAGCACAGGTGGCACGTGTTTCACCTGCCATGGCGACCTTTGGCCATGTGGAAACGATGGAATTTTCGTCGGGGACGAACTGTCCGGTTGTCGGAACAGCGGTCCCCTGAAAAAAGCCCCGAACATAGGTCGATGTCCTAAGCCTAGTTTTGTCCAGGGTGGCTCAAGAAGGGCACAAAGCAGTTTGGAAATTGCCACGGGGAACACTTTTAGTGTTCAGGTCAAAACACGATGCAACCCAACACCGGCTCCCATATCGACTGCTCAGCTCACGGATGTAAGGGTACATGTTCCAGATTCAGCAGTAGAGTCAAAAGCGCAATCCAGCTTCTACCCTTTGCCTAGGCCGTACACCTTCGTAACCCCATACAAACCCCAAACCTGTCGCACACCCCAGACTATTCTAGGACAAAATACTGCTGTGAACCTATGTCCGTTTCTGGCAGAGAATGCCCCATCGCCAAATCTTCAAAGTACGGGTACGATGAACCTTCCGTGAACCCTGAAACCTTAACGCTGAACCCCAAAACCCTTAAACCACCAAAGCCCCGAAAACCCTAAACCTTGCCAGCCGTGAACTCCCGAACCCTACACCGGAAACCCGTAACTCCAGAGTAATTCTCGGGGCTTGAGTCCTAAACCCCTAACCCCTAAACCCCTAACCCCGAAACCCTAAACCGGCTTTCAGTCTGGGGTGTGCATCGCGCTGTGAAGGCTTAGGGTGTATAGGGATGTTCAAGCATTAAGACAGTTTATGACTCAAGGTTCAAGGTTTAGGGCTGTATGTAGGGCTTCGTGCACCAGGAACCACTTACCTTTCGTTATAAGTAGGGAATGGAGGAATGGGGTACAATTGTAACTACTGTTACTACCATTCTTCCATTCCCTAGTAACCAAAGGTAAGACCAAGCAGGTTCTGAGTTGAAGGGATACTATAGAGGCCTTAATATTTACCAACACTATATTTTTTTTTTGGGGGGGTCCTTATTATTAGTATAATATACTGGGCCCCCAAACCCCATTCTAACTATTAAACCCTAAACCCTAAACCCTAAAACCCTAAACCCTAAAACCCTAAACCCTAAACCGTAAATTCTCTATATTTAGGGGCCCTAGGGGCTTCGGAATTACCTGCGTTGTCCCTCCTTAGAAGATCATGGGACTTAGTAAGTGGGTTATAATTGGGGGTTATAAGTCCCCTAAGTGGGGTTATCCTAATTATAACCTACTTATAACCTTACTTACTAAGTCCCATGAGCCTTTAAGTATAGACCCGAAACTCTCGGGGCTTCTGTTCCTGGGCCTCTCTGCCGCATCTTGGGCGGGCAGGAGGACCCCAAAAACCCAGACCTTCCAAAATCCCTTACTTAAAGAATATACCTTAAATCATATTAAGGATCCTACTATAATTTAAGGGATATTCCTTCATTATTTTGGGATTTTGGAAGGTCTGGGGGATCCCAAAAAGCACAACCCATGGAGTTCAAGATCCCTCACGTCAGGAGTACATTAAAAGCTTACCCTAAGGGTCCAAAGGACCCAATAATTAGGTACTCGGTTTTAGGATACTAGTTATGTAGGTAATGATTTTGGAGAGTACTTAAAGGATCATGGGACTTAGTAACTAGGGTTATAATTAAGGTAATTGTACCTATAATTACTTATAACCCCACTTAGGGGACTTATAACCTTACTTACTAACTCCCACGATCCTCTAAGTATATGATTGTTAGGTACTTGGACCCTTGGGCTTAACCTAAAGTCGAAACTCTAAACCTGAAACAGTAAACACGTAAACCACAAAATCCTTTAAAAACGTAATCTCCAATTTTAAGCATCAGCCCAAACCCAGAGGGTCCAAGTACCCAACTAGTAGGGTATTTAGATCCAAAAATCCGTACTCTGTATGGTTTTTGGAGCTTGAAACCCTACTATTTGGGTACTTGGACCCTCAGGGAAAGGGATCTTGGAGTCTCTGGGAAGGCATGGCTAATTCAGCCAGATGCAGCCTCGAAGGCTCGAACTGTTGAGGTCAAACCCTGCAGCCTAAACCAACAGATCCAAAGCTGAGGGGTATATAATCAGGGTTGTACAATCAGGGTCTAGGGCTTTTGAGGTAAACGGTTTAGGACGTATGATTGAGGGTTGAGGGTTTCGAGGTTGAGGGCTTGAGGGTTCAGGGGCAGCTCTAAGAGGATACCCAAAGCTTAAGCCCCAACTACCCTCTATCTTAGGGTTTCTAGTGCGAACCTAAAAACAAGGTAGGTCATGGTAGTTTACCTAGACCACCCAACGACCCTCTAGTATACCCTAAGTACTATTAAAGCCATTAAGGCTCTCTTAAAGGACCCTTGGGGGGTCCAAGTACTGGCGGGAACCTTCTGATTGCATAGATCTATCATAGACTAGGGTTTGGAAAGGGGCCTGTAATGCGATTCGGAGATGGAGGAGGCTAGCGGAACAGGGCGGAACGGAAGCCACACCATAGGATAACCAGAAAGGAAGTTTCTTGGGTCCCAAGGGGCCAGCACCCCAGCGTCTACAACCCAAAGCTATGAGCCCCGTTAAGGTCCGACTCGAGACCACACGTAAATCGCCACTGCACGTAGGAAAACAAAGACCTGGGGTGCTTTGCGCTTCGCCGAAACGAGGCACAGCGCATTTACTTCCCACGATGCCGAAAAGACTCAAGAAGCCCTCTTGCCTATGCGGCAGGTTGCTGTTCGTTAGACCCTACCATACCATACCATAACCTACCCTTCGTACGCTCTTGTTGAAAACCCCAATATAGACTTCATAGGGACCGTACCACAAACAGGTTTTGGTAGTGGTAGTTTAAGTTACATAACCCTTACCATGCCCAATACCCCAGAGCTCCCCTAATGCAGGACCAAAGCTACTAGAATTTGGCGTTGGTGTATTAAAATGTAGCATACTAGTAAGGAACCCTGCGGCCTGCGGGACATTATTCTAAGTGTTAAGACCCCGGTATTGCCGAAGGTTTGCGCTTCTTTGGCTCGCGGCGTAAAGTAGGGGCCTCAAGAATTAGAATAGGGCATAGGGTTTTGGGGCCCAATACTATAAATATCATAAGGAGCCCCCCCTCCCCCCCCCAAAAAAAAAAACAGTAGTTACAGTTTGTTATTAAGGCCGCTATATCCGAAACCACAAGCCCCAGATAATTGAAATCATGAACCCCGAAACCTTTAAGTCTGAAGCCCTACTTGGGGGAGCATGGGACTTAGTAAGTATGGCTCCTTCAACGGATCCTTCTAGGGCTCCTTAAAGATCCTTAGAGGGATCTATAAGAGTTCTATAAAGTAGTATTTTAAAAGTTATAAGCACCTTAAGTAGCTATAAGTAATGATAAGTACAGTTACCTATGATCCTCTAGAGTAAACTATAAGCCCAGAGAAGCTCTGCACCCGAAACAATAATAAAATGCCCACGTCTCTTTCCCGACACCCTACAAGTAGAACCCTTGCAGAACCCCCAAAAGCCCAAACCTTTGTTCCCAAATGTCTAGTTTCAGCTGTAGCTGCGAAACCTTGATAGAAACCTTACTGACAAGATCACGGGACTGAGAGAGGAAATCGGTACGTTACCTAAACCCTGAAGTGTCTAAAACCTTACAAATCCTGAAAGGAACCTTTAAAACAAACCCAATTCAGGTTCGACTGACCAGGTCTCTATCCCCCTCCTTCTTTGGCAGTGGCAGTGCAAGATGTCTGACTCAGCATCGTTGTGACTTTGCCAAGCCCATTCCTGGCTTTCGGGTTCAGTAGCGCTTTAGGGCTTTCGTGTCTTGTACGGGTTCAACGAGGATTGCGGGCAGGGCTCTACAAGGATGCCGCAAGGACTGTGCATTTTTTTGAACAAGCGCTGC